CAGTGATGTAAGAAAATTCCATTTTTTATTACTTCTTGTTTTCAGTTTGTTACCTTTGTCATTCATTCTCTTGTCTATGAACTGGTATCTCCTTGTGATTTTAATTTGTACCTTTGTAATGACAAATGATATTAAGCATCTTTTCATGTACTTGTTTGCCATCTGTACATCATTTTTGAAGTGTCTGGTTAAGTCTTTTGTCCATTTTATTGAGATTTTGTCTTATTATTGGATTATAAGTGATCTTTAAGTGTGTGGATACAAGTTTCTTTTTTTTTTTTTTAAGAAAATCAGATTTCTTCCAGTAGAACAAAATTAGAATCAATGGAAAGAAGTTGAAGTAGGCATATTTCTATTCAGTAGGACTGCCCCAGGCTGGTTCCAGGAGATGATATGTACCCCATTACTTAAGGTGTTCAGACAGAAGCCAAGTGACCACTTTTTAGTAATAATGTAAAGCAGACTCCTGTATCTTCTAGACTCTGTACCAAGTAGCATCTGAGGTTGCTTACAACTAAAATTTTATGCTATTAAAATAAATCAAATCAATATCATGTTAAGATAGAAGACTTATTGGTTGTATCAACAAAAGGTAATACCTTCTGAGGGAGCCAACCTGGAATTTGTAGAACCCCCACCAGTTCCCCAACCAGTGAGTGTTGACTCACAAATCTCTAGCCATCATGTGTACAATAGAGATTGTCTGTTCCAATTTTGAGTTCATTGTGAATATTCCTGACAATGTAGAAACAATGGACTGTATTTAACCTAAATTATATGTACAGAATAATGATATCCTCGCTGTCCAAATATTATTTCCCAAAGGATGTTGCCTTGTGCACTTCTTTATACCCAAGATGAATGAATCAACAAATGTTGGAGTAGACATCAAGAGCAGTACTAAAAACAAACCATTCTGTTTTTAACAAAGCCATGATGTGTCTGTCCCTGAATTCTATGTAATTTTTATCATCATATCTCAGAAAACAAATCACTAATATTTAAGAGGAAGGGAGGGAGAGAGAAAATAATGTTTATTAAATTCTTAAAATATATCAGATACTTCCACACATTTAAGTCAATTTTCACAACAACATTACCAAGCAGTTATTTTAATTTTATGTATGTTACCTATACATATCTTTAAGTCTCATATATATATATATATTATATGTACACATACATCCCCACATGTACATATATATGATTTTTTTAGTTTTATTCTAAAATACAAACAAGGCTCTTTAGGATTATGTCAACATAACTCCCTGGATTTTTGTCTGTAAATTTTTCTCTTTTTTTTGATATATGATTTTATACGCATACACACACATGATTATTGCCAAGGTTAACCAGCTTCTTGGCAGTTATTAAATGGCAGATCCAAACTTCAAACCCCAGTCACCTTCTTATTATCCACTTAGGTCCATACTCTCAGGTTCATTTGCTTGCTGCTGATGAGATCAAAGAAGACCATTTATTTGGTGAAAAAGTAAAAGAATTTATTCAAAGCTTGCTCCAAGGTAATAGAGGGGCCCATTTACCTCAAATCATCATTTCACAGTGTATAGGTAGGTAAAGGTCTTTAAAGAATTAGACTGTAGGCTATGGCAACCAAGAATGCAGTATGCCTTTTTCTGGAGTTAGATTGCCAGGTGGCCAGGTATCAGAAGGAGTGTGCACAATGTATAACCTTAAAATGTCAATGTGCTCTGAAGGATGGCTTTATATCTGAGACCTAAGAAATTATTACAAATGTATTACATATTGACATCTTTGTTTCTTTACTTAACTAGCAACGTATGCTATTTTGAATTCCCCTCCCCATTTGTCCCCCGGGCTTGCTTATGTCTAACTACCTGCCTAATAATGAGGCCAGCCCATACATCAATAATACATTGATGTATGTAATAATAAATTGATGTATTGGCAGAGATGAAGTAATTGTCTGCCAGGATGTTGAATTAGAGCTTCCTCCTTGCAATGGTAGTCTGGGTAACCAAAAGGTCTACAGGGCCTATTTCTTTATCATAGTTCTTAAACCTGTGAATGACCACAGAGAGTTACTAGATTCTTGACTTCATTTCATATTATGCTTAACAATATGCATTCTAATGACCTCTCTGAGTGATGTGGATGCAAACTGAAATTTGAAGATCACTAAGAAAAAGAGCTGTGGAATGGGAGTGAAAAAGTCTGGATTTCAGTTCCATTGTTTCTGTGACTTCTTTGTGTAACCATGATCAATTCACTTGACCTATCTGGGCCTCAGTTACCTCTCCATGAAATGAGGGCACTGAAGTAGATTATCTCTGGCATCTCCCCCAGCTCTAAGATTTTTATACAATGTATAGTGCCTGCTTCATCAACCTACTGAATATCTTTGACTTAGTTATTGATCTCCTCAAGATCCTTAATTTTTCACTGATGTATAAGTATACATAACTTATATGAATTACTGGAATACAGAAATGAGACCCAAATTTTTCCAATTTTACAATTCCATAATTAAACCAGTAATTAATGTGCCATACAACCTGGGCGAATTTAAAGTCCCATAATTCCCATCTAACCCATTGGAATAAAAAATATATTCAGTACTCTTAAAATACTGCCAAGTGTAAGAGTTTAATTCTCAACCATTCAGGTGGTCCAAATTGTCTAACTTCATTAACCTTGAAGTTTTATTGTCTGGGATTTAGAGAGGCAGGTGCTTAGTCAGGACCTGGACCCTTAGTGATTGATGGGTAGGTGTTCCTTAGCCCATGATTGACAGGAAGGCATTCCCTAGCATGTGCTAACTGCTATCCTAAGACTTTTTCTTTCTTTTTCCTTACCTTTTTTCTCGTCTGTGCTGGAAATGGACCCCAAGGCCTTGCACATGCTAAACAAACACTCTGCCACTAAGCCAATGTTAATCATGTATTAGGCACTGGGGATACAAAGAAAGAAGATACTTCCATTTTTTTTATTTTTTAAAAGTAGGAAATATTTATGGAGAGAAATATAATTTCTGCCTAAGAGAGACAGAACGGACCCCAGAAAGTGAGTTACCAGATACTTCTGTTCTTGAGAAATTAGAGAGTTGGTAAAAATTTTTCAGGTTTTGTATGCTCACTAGGGGGAAACCTAACCTAAATGGGTACTTTAGGAAGTACTCCTCCAAGAAGGTAACTACCATAATTAACTCTTAACAAAGAAGTTAACCAAATGCAAAAATGAACTAAAGGCAACTAATTTTATTATATGCTTAGCTTTGTGAAGTGTTTTAATTACAACTAGGAGCAAGTATGTGGCTACTCTCTTCCAGAAAGTTTCACTGAAATTGAGCAAAGGCAGTCAAGTGACTGCTGAAACTGACACACCAGCAATGCAGTTCAGTTTTAAGAAAATCATGTCAGCAATAATTGAAACTAAGGTTGATGTTTTAAATTACTGCAATATTTGTTTTGTAAAAAGACTAATTCATTAAAAATAGTGGGATTTTTAAAAGGAAAAAATGAGTGAGAAAGATCATTCCAAGTTATATTACATGAAATAATCTCCAACTTAAAGAAGTATGTTACAAAACTGTATGTACTGAATACTATTTTGTGAAAAATATACTACTTAGGTGATTTTACGAATATGACATTTGAAAGAATACACAATAAAGTCATAGTCTTTTGACATAAGAGTCTTCCAGGGAAGGAAACTTGGGTGGGTAAGGAACAGGGATAAATGAGAGACTTGACTGTATACTTTTCTATATTTTTAAATTTTCAAACTTGTGAATGTATTGCTTTTCAGAACAGGTGTAGATCATTTTGGATTTTCACATTTTTAAATGTATAAGTATATGCATACATGAAACATGGATTTTTCTAATATTTTAAACATTTTTCTTTGTAGTTCTTTTAAAAAGGTGTTATACCTTAGGATGAGGAGGTAGGAAGAATGTGTGGGGTGGACACCTTTTACTTTATATTGCCTGAATTGTAAAAAGATATTTCATAATTTAAAAAATTAAGCACACATAAAAATCTTGTACTGCGAGGCTAGGAGCACTGGGCAAAAAGAGGAAGACTTAAAAAAATAATTCAGCCATAAATGTAGGAGAGACTCAGCCCTGTTAACTTGGCCTTGAATCACATTATTTCCTTAAGATTTTCTGATGGTTTAAAGTAATAAGACTATAGCATTCAAAGACACAGAATGAAACAGTAATCTGACCTTCAGCTTTATAGCCAAGTCTATAGATAACAACAAAATTTCTCAGATCAAAGAAAAGAGCCAATTAAGAGGCAAGCATGAAAAGAAAGGTAGTGGATGGCCATTTTCACAGCTGTTGTGAAGGTACACCTTACCTTCAAAAGTGTGTAGTCTTTGTGACTATTGACAATATCTTGTGATTTGGAATCAAAAGACTTGTGTTTAATACCTGGTTACAGGGCCAGGGATTTAGCTCAGTGGCACTGCTCCTGCCTCGCAAGTGCCAGGTCCTGAGTTTGATCCCCAGTACCACACACACACACACAAATGCCAGCTACATTATTGATTAACTGTATTACTTTGGTTAATCATCTACCCCAATAGTCAATCATCTGTCCTATACTATTACATATGTTAAAAGTTATTGAAAAAATACAGTATAGGAAAGTATGTTGTAAACTCTAAAGTGTTGTGCAAATTATATGTCACATTTTAGCACCCACTGTGGCAGTGATAATGACAACTAGTTAAAGTAGCTTATATATTGTCACAAAGGACATTTTCACATATATTCACAAAATCATAAGGCAATATGTAAAACATATAGATTCCAGAAAGTCCTTGTTTCAAATTTTGGCATTTTGACTTATTTCAGTGCATGGGAAAATGGTAGCAATTAATGTATCATAATAATACTAGAGAATATGTGGAAATATAAAAACCAGATAGAAATTTGTCATTGAGCTTTGTCTTTTTGAACTCTTAAAATGGACAAAAAGTTAATATAAACACCTTTTTTAAAATTTCAGTTATCTACCTCATATTCTACCATGCCATCTTTGTGTTTTTTGCCTGGACCTACTGGAAGTCTATCTTTACACTCCCACAGCAGCCAAACCAGAAGGTAAGAATATTGGTTACTTCATAAGGGATAAGAACAGAGGAAAGTAGAGATGCTAATAAAGGAAGTAGACAAAAATAGAAGTAAATAAACTTACATTACAAAAGAAAATCAAGGTAATCTCTCCTTCCCTCCCTCCCTCCCTCTTTCCCCCACCTGCTTGCTTGCTTGCTTGCTGGCTGGCTTGCTTGCTTGCTTTCTTTTCTTTCTTTCTTTTTCTTTCTTGAGATATTATCCTAGCTGGCCTCCAACTTCTAGGCCAAAGTGAACCTTCTCCCTCTTGCTGGAGATGGTAGGAATACAGGTGCATACTACCCTGTTCAGTTCAGGGTAATCCTAACGATTCTTAACAATAAAGGTGATTTAAGGGTTGAATAAGATATTAAATGAGTTTATAAAATCACTAGCAATGGATATCTTTATGACAGGGAACTATTGCCTTCATTGGGGATTTAATCAGAAACAACAAATTCTGAGACTCCATATAGTTTAATATTATGAAATTGTATTTAGTAGCCAGCAAGTCTCTGTCAGGCAACTCTGAGGGAAAAAAAAATACAATAGTTAAATCAATTATTTCTAAGCTATGTTCTCTTGAATCTATAAATTTCCTGTAATATTTGAAAGGACTCATGAAACAATTTGTCATCATATGAGGCATTTATCTTGTGTAACTAGTCTAAATCAAGTTAGGTTCCAAAGTAGATAAAACATTGGATGAGATTTATCAACTTCCAAACACTAAGTAAAATACTGTCCTGCATTATCTCATTCATGGAACTAAAATCATTTTTAAAAATAAAGAAAAAATTAAATATAGCCCCCTCCACATGACGAAGTAGACCCACACCAGACTGCAGAGCACACCCACATACACACCTCGTACAAGAGAGCAACCACCCAACCAACTCCAACCTGGCTCTACATTTTCATTCCCTTTGGCACAGGGCGGCAGAGGTGAGGAGTAAGCAAATGACCTGATCCTCATGAGAACAATGACTAGGGACAGAAAGAAACAACCAGAACCTGCAACGGTTAATATTAAGTCCACCAGTCCACTTGAAACCCCCCCACCCATATGGCTTACATCCAGCAGAGACAGAGGGCTGCATGTATTTTCCATCTTCCAATGAGAGCAAGGACACACTTTGGTTTGGACAGTGACCATAGTATGGGGAAAACAGACAGAGGGGCCTATGATGCAGAGAAGGCACCTCATGCTAAGTGAAGAAAACTGTGACTTTCTAGATCCCAAGATTGTAGATCTTGGAAACAAATGACTCATTTAAAAACACAAGAATTTTTTCTTTCATTCAGTCTTTTATCCTTCTCATTTTTATTACTTTAGTTTTCCTTTATCCAAGTGCTTTTTGGTTTATGATTTTGTTTTCCCTTTTTAATTCTTTTTCTTTCTTTTCTCTTCTTTTCTCTTTTCCCCTGTGAAACTTTTTTCTTTTCCTTATCTTCCTTTTATTTCTTCTATTTTGGTCTCTGTTTATCCTTTTTTCTTGGTCATTCTTTCCTTTGACTGTTTTCTAACATTGTTAATTTCCTTTTCCTCCTCAGTAGGACACTTATCTCATCTCATTTTTCTATCCTCCTCATATCCCACTGGTTAATTTTTTAAATTTGTTTTTTTTCATTCTCTGCTTTCCTACCCCCTCTACCTTTACTAATATAACTACTGAGCTTTATGAATCTCTAAATAGTTAATTACATTTATGTGACAGGTATTGAATACTATTTTATTTCTAGGAGATGTGAAGTTGTGCCATTTAGTAGATATTTACTGTTCATCTATAATAGGTCAATATTTGGTTTGTCTTAGTGTTGATACTACAATTACAGATCTCTTTTCTATGGATAAGGATAGTAAATTATTGTTCTTTAGGCTTTGTAAATATTGTTTATATTTGATGCTGTAATTCATGCTGATTTTATTACTATAGCCAAGATGACATAGCTGTTGCATCAGTTGGTTCTCTTGGGATATCTGGATTGCTTGGTCATTAACAATACTGTGCCCCATTCCTACAAAACTGGGTACACTGCAACCCCCCATCCAAAGTAAACAGAAGTGATTGGATCCTGGATCAGGGGCAAAGGCCACTAGTTAGCAATACCAGGAGGACACCACTGAAAAGTAGACATTAACTTAAGAGGTCTCCATATTTGAAACAACGCTTTTTAATACAATCAATTTGCCAGCCTTCTAGAGATCCCTGCAGAAAGTCCCTAATCCCCCCCTGCTCAGTATGTGACACAAGGTTGAAGAAAAAATATCCATTAAAACAGAACTAAGAGAAAAAGAGAGAGGACTGTGATGGCCAATGCTGGATCCCCAGCAAAAAACCCCATTCAGTCACATCCACTGAATTTTATTGTTCAGTGTTCAATTGGGGTACAGGTGCAATACATGTATAGATGTGCAGTACATGCAGTTACTATGGAAAGTAATGCAGGAAAGGCTTTAAAGAAAAGAGACAAAGCATTTTAAAATGAGAAGCAAGATAGATAAAATATATGGTTGTAGTTAGAACATTGTCCTTCTAGCTATGATGGCCCTAATAGTGGAAATGGAATTTGGGTATAAACTACTCCAACCTCAGCTACACATATTATCTCATATTACCCCACAGCTTCATAGGCCAAAATCCAACATGCATTTATGATAAAAACCCTACAAAAAATTGGAATTGATGGTCTCTACCTCAATCTGATAGAAGCCATCCATGAAAAACCAACAGCCAATATCATACTAAATGGTCCAAAACTGAAATCCTTTACACTAAAATCAGGAACAAGACAAGGATGTCCACTATCACCACTCTTGTTCAATATAGTTCTGGAAACATTAGCAAAGGCAGTTAGACAAGAAAAAGAAATAAAAGGAATAAAGATAGGTAATGAAGAAGAAGAAGAAGTCAAATTGTCATTATTTGCAGATGACATGATACTCTATAGAGAAGACCCCAAGAATTCCACCAAAAGTCTTCTAGACTTAATAACCAAATTCAGTCAAGTAGCT